GGAAGGCTATACTTCTCACCTTCATCCCTTCTCCCTACACAGGAGAGAGCAGCAGTAAAGTCCCTGATTGGCATGCGGAAGGCTATACTTCTCACCTTCATCCCTTCTCCCTAAACAGGAGAGAGCAGCAGTAAAGTCCCTGATTGGCATTGCGGAAGGCTATACTTCTCGTCTCCATCCAGCTTCTCAGCTTAAAAAGCAGGTATGCAGGGGTGGGCTGTGGAGAGTGTCTTGAGATGTGAAGCTGAACACTGGGTGGGCCACTTGGCGGGCTCGGGTGCTGGCAGGTTTGACACCCTGCTGAGCCGTGCTCACCCTTTCTCCCTGGTGTGCTGTAGGCACAGAATGCTCCTCAGCTGTACACAGCCGCTGTTCTCCTAATCCCATGGAGTCAGGGCTAACCTTCACGCCAACTCCCAGAGTATAACGGTTTCCAGCGCCAGCCCTTGCTTCTGAGTGTGTTCGCTGTTTGAGCCCATCGGTATTCTGGTTCAGGATGGTAGTAGATTATCGCTGTCAGTAATGGAGGCGTGCTGGAATTTCTTCACTGGGAGACCAGCTCTTAACTTACAAGATACACGAAAATAATAAACTTTAGCGTTCCTGTCGGGGAGGTCCAATTTGGAATTCATTTTGGAACTTTATTCACCATGTGGCAATGAAGACAGTAAAGGGACAAACGGGGTCATCTCATGAGTGCCACAGTCATGATGTGGCAAAAGGGGAAATGAATAGATAGGTCTGCCCTTGGACAGCAGGTGTAGACCCATGGGCTGGGGAGGGATCAAGGAAGAAGATGCCTAGGGATGGATGGTGAGCATTAGACATGTAGGAAAAGGGAATCTGAGGTGTCACCCTCCAGCGAGGGCTCAGGCCTGGCTGCTGTTGTCAAGCTGATGGTCATTTTGGGATCGATAGTTCAGACTGCTAGTCTGGGACCCTGCTGTGAATCTGCATCAGGGCAGCAGAGCTGGAAGGACAACAGGAAGCTTGTAGAAGGAAGAGAAACTTCTGGAAGGTGGATGTCGCCCCTGGTGGATCCTCCCTTCCCCGAGACTCTGCAGTTTGCAGCCTCCTTGTCCTAGCTCATGTACTTTGCAGATGGTCTTGGGTCCTTTTCTTCTCAACATCATTGTTTTGGGTGTTTCTGCTGCTTTAATAGATGAACAACCATTGTATTCTTTCACAATTTTGTCAGACTTTGAGCAGAGCTTACCTGGGCTGTCCCTACCTGACCTCTCGGTGGCTCCATCAGACAACCACTGGTCCGCTGATCAGTGTGCCCAGGCATGGCTGCTCCATACACTGACCAGCAGCTGGTTGAACCCAGAGCAAGTGACCAGAAGGAAGGAGTACGCCGTCTCCTCCCTGACCTGAGGTCCTGCAGCCTCACTTCCATTCTGCGGGGGAGACAGAGGCCCCACCTCTTGGGGTAGGGAACCTGGTCCACCCGTCTACAAGGCTTCTCAGAGGCGATCACAGACGTGTTTTAGAGTCTCCACAGACAGTAAAGACTTAGGAAACCCAGATCGTCTCCCAGGTCCCGTTGTGTGCGGTGGGCAGAATAACCCTAACTCACCCCCTTTAGTTTTTAATAAACCATGAGACCTGCAGCAGCTTGAAACAGGTAATTTTTCCTAGAGGGTTTACTCAGAACATCTGTATCCGTTTAAAGTTGGAACTGGAAAGGCAGCTGTGAAATCTGCTGACAAGTAATGAAGCATCTTCTTCTCAGGTGCTGAGCTGTGAAGCAAGCATCCGCAGCTGGCTGGTGTTGCCTTTGCCAGAAGCACGTGCTCCCGAAGTGTCCAGGTACCATTCCATCCACTGTGCCATTGAGTGTGAATGCCATGACCCTTGTGGTCAGTTCTGCGGTGACCCGGCTCAGAGCCGGCACACAGGGCCTGCACATCCGAACCCAGAGCTGCCGCAGACCCAGTCCGGTTCCCCCCTCATCTGCTATCAACCACGTTACTGCGTTCATTTAATAGTTGGGGTCTGTGATAGTGTCTCCTAATCTGTGTCTTAAGTGCTGAGGGTTCTGAGGAGCAGCTGGTAGGTTTGAACCAACAACCCTGTGCTTAGTAGTCCAGTGCTTATCCTAGAGTGCCATGCCTTTGATGGTACTTCCCATGTTACACTAGAGCTCCGAGATGGTGTTTCATTTATACTTGAGATCTGAGATGGTGTATCATCTTAGTTTATGGTCTGATTGTATCTCCCATCTTATACTAGGGGTTTGTGATGATGTCTCATTTTATACTTTTATTCTGAGATGGTGTTTCCATTTACATCTGTGGTTTTACAGTCTCTCCCAGCTTATACTTAGGTCTCTTGTTGTT